GCAAAAAGAGACAAACTATGCCTCTTAGCTTAAGAGGCTTCCAAGAGACATACATTGTTCCAGATCCAAAATTTCTCTTATTTATTTATTTTTTAAAAGATTTTACTTATTTATTTGACAGAGAGAGCACAAGCAAGGGGAGCAGCAGGCAGAGGGAGAGGGAGAAGGAAGCTTCCTGCTACACAAGGGGCCTGATGTGGGGCTTGATCCCAGGACTCTGGAATCATGACCTGAGCCGAAGGCAGACGCTTAACCCACTGAGCCACCCAGGTGTCTCCCAGACCTAATTTTAAAGGGACTCCTTCAGGATTCCTGAGGAAGCCCACAGGATGAAGAATTAAAATGTGTCTGCAAAGGGAAAGGAAAAAATGGCGATGCTGGGGGTGGGGTGGGGAGGGAGACATGTACCAAGATAAGAGTCTCCAATTCTGGTTTGTTTTCAAGAGGCTGCCTCCTCCGGGCTCTCAGAGCCCCTCTAGATCTCTGAAGTGTTTCAGGAACACAGAAAGCTCCTTGATACCACACACCGTCAGAGTGAGTGAGGAGAGGGCGCCTAAGACCAAATACTGGTCTGACTTGGGGTGCTGCCCGTGCCATGCTGCCTCTAGGCCAGGCCCCTGGTCAAGTGAGGCCCCTTTGGCCTCTTTCTCACTCCTTCTAGGCCTATCTCCCTCCTTCACACCACTTCCTACGGGAGCTTCACCTCCAACAGGGCTCCTCACACATTTTTGAGCGATTTCCCTCTTCCCTTTTCTGCTTGAGCTCTGCATGGACCCGTTTCCTACGGGACAGGAACGAGAGGAGGAACGGGGTTCCTATGGGACCAGTTGGAGGAGATGACTACTAACTGGTCCAGAAAGCTTTGGGCGGTCGCAATTGTTCCAATTGTACAACCGAGGTAAGAATTTCGACACTCGAAGTGGTCTATAATGGTTTGGGGCAGACTAAGAGATACTTTTTTTTTAATATAACCTAGTAATACTAACAAACTCAAATGATAAACAATGCCTACATTGTTATACATTGTTTATAACCTGTGGAGATAGTTTTTTTCTGAAGAGCTATATAAGCAAAGTGAAAGACCAAGATACAAAACATTATAATCCTGTTAAGGAGCTCCTTAGGGCCGTGCAGTGACCCCTTTCTAAAAACACACTGCATTGTTAATAAGGAGCCCCTAATTGATGTGTTTTCAGTGTGAGATAGAGGCTGCCTATGCTGCCCCGGGGCCTCCCACCCCTCTCTAGACACACTGCATTTTGCAGGAGATGTCATGTGCAGGGAGAGAGGAGAAAGGCAGGTGGCTGAAGAGCCTAAGGTGGGTCATGCCTTCGGGATATGTTTGAAATGCTTCCCTTATTAATGGTAGATGTTAGGTTTTGGGGCCCAGTTTTCTTTGGGGCCACCAGCAAAACACTGATGAAAAGCTGACTGGCGTGTGGGGTATGGTCTACAGTTCTTACTCATTTGGGAGTAGAAGCCATGAGAATCATTGGCTCCTGCATCCAAGTGCAAGGGGCTAGCCTGAGGAGATCCCCAGAGAGGAGGCCACAGGAGTCATGTGGGATAAAAGGACGCATACATGTGAGAGCAGCTGGAATGCCAGGCCAAAAACCCTCCTGCCGCCCTCCTCTCAACATGCAGTTCCCTGACTCATGTGCCTTCTAGACACCGGTGACCTCACCTGAAGCTGTCTGATCCTGACCCTCCACCAGCCCTAAACCTGGCTATCTCCTGCCCACCTGGCATTTCTGCTTACATGTGATATAGACACACCTGTCCAGAACAGAAGCCTTGATTTCTCTCCAAAATCTGTTCTCCTTGATTCTCCCATTTAATAAATGGCATCAGCAATCCCCTGGAGGCTCCAGCTAAACACTCTGGAAGGCATACTCTCTAGTCCCTCTCCATTCTGTCCACCCTTCTGAAGAGTGGTTCTTCACCCCGATACCCAGGGCTCTATCCCAAACCAATCAGAGCAGAACCTCTGGGGGTGGGGCCAAGGCACTCCTACTTCTTCATAGCTCTCTAAGGGGTTCTCATGTGCAGCTAGGTTTGAGAATTAGTGGCTTAAAATGTACTTCTGGCTATCCAGTTTCTCTGCTCCCACTTTGGTCTAAACCACCAACCATGTCATGTGTGGGCCACTGTCATCCCTCTAGTACTCCCAGGTCTCTGCCCCACCTTGAACCCCCCCATTACAAGCACAAGGCACTATGGTTTCCCACAGCATTAGAGTAAAGAGCAAAGTTCTTGTGAGGCCCCTAGGGCCCTGCACAATCTGGCTTCTGAGGTCCTATTTACATCTCCCAGCTCCTCTTGCCCTTACTCACCACACAGCCATCACTCTGGTTTTAGTCCTTTCCTCAAACACACCAAACACATGCCTCCCTGTGGGCCTTTGCACCTATTCTCTCCTCTTCCTGGAAGGCTCTGCCCTCAGGGCTTCATTTGCCTGACTCATAGCTACGTGCCATTTAGGTCTCAGCTCAAATGCACCACTCAGAGGCCTTCTTAGACTCCCTGGAGCTGAAGCTTGCCCCCTGCCCCCCCAAAAAATCACCACTACATCATCCTGATTGCACTCTTTCATTGTCTTTAAAACACTCATCAGTGTTCACCTTCTGTGCTCACGTATTCACTGCCTGACCCCCTCTCTACATGAGGATGTGAGCTCCAAGAAGGCGGGAATTTTTGGTCTGTCTTGATCATGGCTGTATCCATTGTTCAGAAAGGACCTCCCACATAGTAGGCACTCAATGAGCAAGTCCTTTACTTTATTCCATTCATCAGTGCCCGCAGGGCCCTTCCTCCTTGCTGCCAGGGTGATTCCTATAAAATGACAACTAGATCTTGCCATTCTTTATTCAAAATCCCCAGGGGCTCTCCACAGCCCCTTGTCATCCAACTGCTCCTCTGCTACGTTGGCACTCTGCCCACACCGCCAACCCAAACCCACTCTCCTCCTAAGTTCCCACCGTCCCACAGGGCTCCTGGGTGCCTCAAGGAGACACATGCCTGCATTCCTGTGCCTTCGTGCACGCTGCCCTCTTCCTGGCACGCCGTCAGTGTCTTCCTGCCCTACCACTCTACGCTTCTCTTTCAAGAATTGGCCGGAGTGCCACCGAGCAGCAGCCATCATTCTCTAGCCTGGTTAGCGTCCCCCTTGTTTTTCCACAGCAACCCGTGTTTCCTCTGCCAAAGGCTTTTGTCGCATGGGGCTGGCCTCCTCTGTCTCCTCTGGGCAGAGGGCACTTCGCCTGTAACCGTGTACAGGTTTCCACTGCTTTCCTTTTTTTATTTTTTTATTTTATTTTATTTTATTTTATTTATTTTATTATTTTATTTTATTTTATTTTATATTTTATTATTTTATTTTATTTTATATTTTATTTTATTATTTTATTTTATTTCATTTTATTTTATTTAGTCACACACACAGAGAGAGAGAGAGAGGCAGAGACACAGGCAGAGGGACAAACAGGCTCCATGCACCGGGAGCCCGATGTGGGATTCGATCCTGCGTCTCCAGGATCGCGCCCTGGGCCAAAGGCAGGCGCTAAACCGCTGCGCCACCCAGGGATCCCTCCACTGCTTTCCTGAGTTTGTGTTCTGTCACTTTGCTTTTTTCAAATTTTTCAAAAATTTAAAAAAGATTTTATTTATCCATTCATGAGAGAGACAGAGAGACAGAGAGACAGAGACACAGGCAGAGGGAGGAGCAGGCTCCATGTAGGGAGCCCGATGTGGGACTGGATCCCAGGTCCCCAGGATCACGCTCCGGGACAAAGGCAGGTGCTAAACTGCTGAGTCACCCAGGGATCCCTGTCACTTTGCTTTTTATGAAAGACCTGCTTAGTACCTGTTTTTGCCAACTGAGAGAAATCAGAAGAGGAAGTTTGCTTTTACAAAATGGTAACTGCTTCCATGCTTTATGCCATTTCACGGAAGGTTTCACAGGAACACCACTTTCAGATGGTGGGGTAGACCCATGCGGCACATCCCTCAGGTGCCAGCTGGTCCATGACCCTGTCAATGGTGCTAGCACGTGCAGAAGAGGTGCTATCCGGACTTGCTGCTGATGTGTGACTGAGCCGGGAAAGGGGCTCTCCCTGGGGCGGTTAATGATCCACCGCTGGAACTAGTGGAAGTGGAGGCCCTGGAGGAGGCAACCTAGCCCAGGACCCAGAGTCTCTATCTGGCTTTCCCTGGGGCTCTGTTTTGCTGTGTGGCCAGTGTCAATGCCAGCAGCAGAGCTTTCCCCTTTCTTAATTTAAACACACTTGTCCTACGCACTCAAACAATCAAGCTGCAGGAGGTCTTTATCGAATCATGCACTCTCACTTTTCCCATACGAGATAATGAACAGGAAGGAGGATTTAATGCCAGGGTACACGACATTCAACAGCCACTTGTACAGCTTGGTATATTTAGCTAAGTCATTGGCTAGAACGCCACTGCTTTACCCGCAGATATTCACCAAAGGGCACTTGCTGCCGCCTGAAACAGGCTTGTCCAGCTTTTCAGGAAAAGATGAGCCTCGCCCAAACAAAGTGAAGGTCATTTCCGTGTAGGTTCCTGGAATTGGATATGGCTTAAATTTCAAGAGCACCTAGCTGCAGTCCTGTATCCACTGGGAAGCCCTGCCCTGACCCAAGCCTCCAGCATGCTTTCCACTCTGATGATCTGTCCCCCATCTCCATGGTTGCCTGACCCTGCCTTTCTAACTAGAGGCTAGGTTTCCCCCAAACCAAACTCTTCCTGTAGTAGGCTCTGTTAACATATACGCCAATGTATGTATAGACTCATTCAACCAAGATAGACAGTGTCTCCTCGGGAGGGGTAGGGGGGTGGGGAGGGAGGCGAGTTCCTTTTCCACCCCAGCCCTGGCCCTCCTGTTCTCCATGCTCCCAAGGTCTGGGGGAACATGCAGGCTGTGGCCATGCCAGGGCCAGAGGAGGAGAGTGTGGGCTGGTTAAAACGAGCCCAGACATACTCACGGGGTCCGTCAGCATGGCCCGGCAGTGAGAAGCCAGGGCCAAGAAGGCCAGCAGGTTGAACACGATTCCGTTGATGATGCTGTACACATAGTCTCGGGATGGAATCAGCATGACAAAGAGGACCACAAATTCCGCATAGAGGACCAGAAACCAGGTGACAATGGCACAGGCAATGCCACAGCCGTCACGGATAAACCACATGGTTCCCACAGGACTGGGGTGGGGTGGTGGGACACACTTCTCCGGCTGGAGGTATTCTGGCTTCCGCTCAATGTCTCGGAAGTGGTGGGTGGGGATAAGCATCATAAGCTATTCTGTCCATACTGGCATCTGGAAGAAAGAAGAAAGGACCCAGGAAATTGGTGGTGTCTTGTTATCAAGGAGACTTGACAAAATTACCTTTCTAAAGTGAGCCATGAGTATCTATGTGTGAACTTCCTGCAGAAAAGCTGCCTAAACCTTCTGTTCCTTTAAAATGTGAGTTCTTGGGGTACCTGTGTGGCTCGGCCCATAGGTGTCTGCCTTCGGCTTAGGTCGTGATCTTGAGGTCCTGAGATGGAGCCTCACGGGCTCCCTGCTCAGTGAGGAGTCTGCTTCTCCCTATCCTTCTGCCCACCTCCGCCTCCTGCTTGTGCCTGCTGTCCCAATAAATAAAAAATATCTTTCAAAAAATGAAGTAATATAAAATGTGAGTTCTTGGGACACCTGGCTCGGTCAGTTGGTAGAGCACGTGACCCTTGATCCTGAGGTCATGAGTTCAAGCCCCACGATGGGTACAGAGTTTACTTAAAAAACAAACAAACAAACAAAAAAAACAGGTTTGTTAATTCTGTGGCTAAAACAGTAGATTTTCTAGGAATCAGACTCCCTCTGTACTGCCCTCTTTGTGGGCGATGGGGTCAAGTGGAGAATGTTGGATGATGTGTCCAAAGATGTTTTTGCACCACCTGGCTGTGGGGCTTCGTGAACCTTCGTGTCCTCACCTGAGGAGACACCCCCCTTTCAGCCCCAGCCTCCTCCTCCCAGAGTTGGTGAGGCTCGAGGGAGTCAGAGGTGCTTGTGATGAACGCTGTAGACTGTAACAGCCCACACACCATGGACTCCAGACTCATTCTCTCTAGGAAAGACATCCATTCCTTCTGAAACAAGTACTGAGCAACATGCCCCTTCTTCCTAACAGCTGCAGCCCGTATCTCTGGAGACCGCAATGAAATAACTCAGGATCGATAATAAAGTCTATCTGTCCACAGCACGTTCCACAAGATGCAGAAAGTACAGATTCCCCTCCTCTGATTCCCCTTATCTTACTCAGCGGCCTGTTGCATCACCAGACCAGATTCTCAGTCAGAAACAGTGCCGGCGCAGGCTAGCTCCAGATGGAGGTACCATGGAGAGACCACCAAAGCAGTCTACAGCACAGCCAGTGACATCTCAGGCTTCTGAGAGCTTCAGTCACTTTGTAGCAGAGGAAATTATTCCTAAGCACCACTGGCTATGCATGTTTTCTGAAGACGGGCTCTAAAGGGCACGGGCAAACCTTCAATGGTTGTGTTGGGCTTTCCTTACCCTTTTGCCTTCTTCCTCCCCTCCAACAGAGAAAGAGCATCTGAACTGAATATGCTATAGTCATGACAAGTAAGGACATGTCCAAAAAGCTGAATGGGCAGAGCAGTAACAGCTACTCAAAATGACAGACATTCTAGAGTCAAGAGTTGCAAAGGCTAATGATGGAAGAATAAGGCCAGGGGCTCCCCTTCCCAGGGTGGCAGATAATTAATAGCTGAAAGGCAGTTAGATGCATACCATGTACTTGTCCAGAGAAATGTTGACTCAATAAATAGAGTGACTATCACATGCTGGGTACACTGTGCTGGGAGCTGAGGGACGGGAAGTCATGGCGTATGGAATAACCATCCCAAGTAGAGTAAAAGCAGTAGTTCCCGACAGGCCATCAGCCAGAATCTTGGCATAAAGCAACCTTGTGCTCTCCACAAGACAATGGTAATCGGTGCTGCCAGTTACAACCTACAGGCATTAAAGATGCAAGGATACCCTCTGAGGCAGTCCTTTCTTAGAATGGAATATTTTGTAAAAATTAAAAATTATATTGGGGAAGAATATTTAATCATATTGAAGTATATTTATTATATATTATCAAATAATGAAAGCAAATTAAAGACAAAATGTAAAATATCCTATGTTGATGGGGGAAAAAGTATATGTGCGCCTAAAATAAAAAAGAGGGGGAAGCCAAAAAAAAAAAAAAAAAAAGAAGAAAAGCTCACCATTTTGACAAGCATTCTCTTGATTCTTCCTGCTGCCATACAGATTTGTAGGTACTTAGGCTCTAAATGCATAAGGTTTTACTGGACCACAGCCATGCCACTCGAATACATATTGTCTGTCTGCTTTTATGTTACGATGGCACAGCTGAGAGGTTGTGATGAGGCTGTACGACCAGCAAGCCTAAAGTACGTATGCTTTTTTTTTAAGATTTTATTTTATTATTTATTTATTTATTTATTTATTTATTTATTTATTTATTTATTTATTTATTTACAATAGTCATACAGAGAGAGAGAGAGGCAGAGACACAGGCAGAGGGAGAAGCAGGCTCCATGCACCGGGAGCCTGACGTGGGACCCGATCCCGTGTCTCCAGGATTGCGCCCTGGGCCAAAGGCAGGCGCCAAACCACTGCGCCACCCAGGGATCCCGTCCCACTCATTATTGATTGTACACATGGTAACAACTTGGCTAGAGTGATGCTTTGCATATGTGGTTTGCGGAGGAATAGACCCTTCCGTGTAAGTAAATTTCCCAGTAACTGTGACTTGTTCTTGAGCAGATACACATTTTAACCATTAAGATGGTTAAGATGGAAAAGAAAAATAAAAAATGGAAGTGAAATAAAAACCAGACCAAAAAAAAGAGACTATAGCTGTTTCTGTCTTAAGTACAATAACCATCCATTTCTTTGGAATGATGCACAGTTATTACTGGGAACGTCAGTTACTGGAGTGTGTCAGGTCATGATGTCCTCGGAGGTCATGGGGATTCACTGGGCTCTCGGCCTCACACCAACTGGCTTGTTGAGACTACTAGAATTCTAATTCCAATATTTCCTTTGTATGGTTGTCTTTCTCTTCCGTTCCTGGCTACTGTCATTTTAGTGTCTACAGTTACCAATTTCCCCGACAAATTCTCCATTTATGACTGCTAATTGGCTGTAGGCTGGAAAACAAATAAATCTACATCATGTTAGGTTTATTTGTAAAAGAAGGGTATTTATTTTAGATTATAGGCCTTTAGGGACCAGCTGCTATGCTCTCCTGCCATACAGTTCTGCAGGTTGGAAGCCCTGTCTTTTATTAGCCCAGGGCCTGGCATGTAGTAGCCGCTGACGGTGTGTGTTCATTACACAAATGCTTGAGTTTAGTAAAATGCCCGAGCTTTGTGACCCCAGGTCCCCCTCTGGAGGCCCTGTCTGCTTCCTTTCAGGGGTGTGGCCATATCCTAGATGGTGGATGATGTACCAAGTAGGACTCTGAAGTAAGTGGACTGTGACTCTTATTTAAGTAACCAGAATATTCCATCCCTCAAACAATGTTGGACGGAAGAGTGTATAGAGGAGCTCTGTTTTCCCACTGCCCCTCACTGGTGAGGGAGAATCTATGATCTGGGCAAGCACTCAGACAAGGCATACCTGGCAAGATTCAGACACCAAGTACTGAACTGAAGTTCACATTCCACCCCACACTTTAGAGTTTCAAAATACCCTGTTCAAAACCAATCAAGGCATACCACTATTTCAAATTTATTTAAGCCCAAGGCCCGAGCAATGGAAGTAGCTTTCCAATAAGGATTTGTTCCTTAAATTAGCCACCTGGAAATCTGAGAAATATGAGGAAAACTCCACCTCGAACAAATTATGCACATTCCCTTCACACTGCCCCTAATGACAACAACAGCAGGAAAGGCAAATGTTGACCTCTTTTCCTTTCCTATTTTGAATTAGAGAAACTCCAATCCTTGGGGTTGAGGAGTGGCTCTTTGCCCATGACCTACTCCGCACGAGTCCTTGCTCGTGACCACTGGGCAGAACTGCTTGCTTAGGCCAAGCTGTGTACATAAGGAAGCTGGTGGGTCCCAGGGCCTTTATTCCTGCCCACCAGCTCATACCCTCAGAGGGGTGGTCTCCTCTAGTCCTCCTCCACCACATCTCTTTCATTCCATTCTTTTGCCCTATCGATCCTCTCAATTCTCCTGCCCCCCCCCTTTTTTTAAAGATTTTATTTATATATTCATGAGAGGCACACAGAGAGAGGCAGAAACACAGGCAGAAGGAGAAGCAGGTTCCAGGCAGGGAGCCCGATGTGGGACTGGATGCGGGGCCTCCAGGATCATGCCCTGGGCTGAAGGTGGCACTAAATTGCTGAGCCACTGGGGCTGCCCAATTATCCTGCATTTAATTCAATTCAAAAAACATATTGACGGAGCAGCCATTAAATATAAGGAACTGTGTAGGGGGTTCACACACAAGGGATCATGAGGACAATAATTTGTGTGTGCTGCCCAGTTCGGGTCCTGCCATTCCCCTCTCCCAGTTCCCAATCTGCTAAGACTAGCTTTGTTCTACTAACCTGCAAGTCCTATTTTGTTTAGCGTTGGAACCAGGTACCTGGCATGAATATATGCTCAGATCGTTATTTCTTGAGTGGATGGATGCAGAGACTGATCTACCTCACGATGACCCTAACACATAGGTTTCTAATGAACAGCACAACGGAGAAGCAAATCGTACCTGCTCCCTGCAAATAAACAAAGCCCAGAAGTGGGATAAATAGACTTTTTCATGGCCAGGGAATCCAAAGGGAGGGGATCTGAGCAGGGCGTGGAGCCAGGTGAAGTGTTCTGCTCTGAAAAAGGCAAGGACAGTGGTGATGCAGGTTGTGGGGCTGGATGTCCTGGGCTGTGTGCCTGCGTGTGTGCATACGTGGGCTGTGTTGGGCATAGGAGGTGGGGGCGCTAAGTGGAAATGAAGCTTTAAAGGTAGGGTTGTTACGTAGGCTATGTTTTACAAGGCCTTGAGCTTTAAGATGAGTTGGGAGTTCACCCTGGAGGTATTGGTGAGGCACCCCAGGCTCTAAGGAAAGCTATAAGGAATGTATTCGTGCTATAACAATGCTGCTCTGGCACTGACAGGCAAGACAAGATGAGGCAGACAGGAGGGCTCGGGGTCTATCAGAGGCCAATGAGCCCAGAGAGGCACTGAGGGAACAGGTCAGAGTTCCAGTTGGGTGGAATAGGATTTTCTGCTCCTCTTCCATC